GTTCTATGTTCAGCCTACTACTCCAGTAGGGGGACCTAAAACAACCATCACTACAGCACTTGCGTCTTTCCAAGTCCCAGTTGCTTATCTGCTTGCTAAGGAAAGCCCAAACAATTGCTGGGCTTCTAAAACACAGAAACACATAGATCCTAAATATTAAAAAAAAAAAAAAAATCTTATATGCTAAAACTGCAAACTTCACATTACCTGGAAATCATCAACAGCAGCACTGGGGAGCAAACATCTCTTTCCCGGCAGACAGGAGATACTGAAGGAGCCCCACATTCCCATCTTGCTGCGCCCATTTTCCAGGGCCAACATGCCACAGTCCCTAAGGGAAGGCAAACATTTACTGAAGAGCTGACCAAGCCAAACTGCAGAGACAAGGTTCTTAGCAGTTTTGGTGCATAACAGTGAGAATGAGATAAACTATAAATGGGAACTAACTAAACTTTCAGCAGTTTGGCTCTGGAGAGTTTGTCAGGCCCCTGCTGCTACTCACCAAGATGGAGTTGGATGCACAGAGAACCACCTAAAATCCCCTATGCCTCGGAGAACCGCTCAGGAGCAAGCGTTTTGTCTTTTATTTGTATTGTTTAAGAAAATAAACAAACCAATAAAACATGGGGCAAGCGGAGACACACGTGCTCTCTCTCCGCCGCACACCGCCGCCCCCCGGCGGCCGGCGCTGAAGTGGCACAAAATGGCGGCGGCGGCGGCAGGTTAAGGGCGCGGCCCAACGGCCACGMGCGTGTCCGGCGCCGCTGCGAGGCGCGGAGCGAGGCGCCCTGGGCCCGCGGGCGGGGGAACGTCCACGGGGATGCATCATGGAAATGTTTAACATTATTTTAAGTTTTGATACACTATAGTTTATATGCAAACCTTTCGTTGATACTGGAGATAACTACAAATGCACTCTTGAAARTATAAATCTCATGCATTGCTGTAACGTAAGCACATTATAGCACTGATCAATTAAACTAACAAAACACATGCTACCAATGACAATACATGATTGAGGCTTAAAATATCATCAGTTGTGCATCAGTAAAAATAAGCACAGAATACCCTGTCCAAAGTTTTGGTTTTTTTAGTAGCATCTTCATCAAAATAGATTGAAAACTGCTTATGAAACTTTCTGAACAAATCAATGATCTTGTTAATAGAGCTGGGATTAGAAGGGCTTACAAAGGGCAGTGAAAATGATAATTATCTGCTTTAATTGAAGCAATGTTCTCTCTATGATGGTTAAGATAATGTTAAGTGATTTTTCTAAGTGTATTTAAATAAATCTCATACAATAAATTGGCTTATTTTTGCAAACTAAAGGAGGACAGGGTCAAAACTTACATTAAAAGTACACTTACATAAACAAGTGTTTATACTTTTAACATGTTTATACATGGACAAGGGAAGTTGGGATCAGACACAAGGAAAACAACTATCTCCTTAAAGACAGAAATACAATAAAACCCATTCTGTAATATGGACACAAAAAACTCACATGTTTCTCAAGAATAGATGCAAAGGTAGATCAAGGAACAACATGTATTTTTAAAATGTATTTTAATCAAGGTAAGAAGTCAAGGTAAGAAAGTGGCAATGGATTATCCATCAAGCTGGTACAATAAGAATTTAGAAGATTAAAATCTCMGTATTAAAAAGGCAGTTTGACTTCATTACCAAATTCAAGATTAGATTAAATTCAAGATTAAATTCAAGATTTAGGGATGAACTGATATATATGCTTGAGAAATAAGGAAGTCTAAAATATCAAAGCGATTTTTAAAATATATTTTATTATAAAAAACACACATTATCCTGTTCTCTGTGTTCTCTTTGACTTTTCTTACTTTCCTTGAACAGTTTACTACAGTGTCATTAGTTCAAAAACCACACAGTTTTTAACTAACAGGGTAAATTCATCATCCTACCAGAAGCTGTCAGGTGGAACAGAGGAATACCAAAGTGGGAATAGATGAAATGCCACAATGGCCTTAATTTTGGAGATATTTTTTGAACTGAAAGTTTAAGGCCCTGAAACRGAGAAGGATCTTCCTTTGCAGAATGAGGAAACAGACCTGCTGGCAAAGCTACCAATATTCTGGATGAAAGAAAGAGTATACTAAGAGTATACTATCCTTAATTCATTTTTCATAAGAGTTTACAATAGCTGAATATCAATTAAAATGCAAGTTCCACAGGGAAGGACTGTTTTAACATTCCTGATAGACATATCCATGTGTCCGTATACATTCTTATACTACAATATTGGAAGAAAGGACTACTATAACTCCCTTTTCCTTACCCCCACAGGCTCATGCATTCTATCTTGTCCCATAAGCRCATCAGTGTTCAGACTGCAGGAACAAACTGATTTACACTGGTAAAATAAGTATGAAACACCTGCTGCTGGGCCAGTGAATCTCATTTTCACTTCAAATCTGAGTATTTGACAGGTAATTTCAATGGAGAGAACACCAACAGAGCCCATCGCTAACAAGATAAATGATTTTTTCAGCAATAGCTAAGTCTTGGATTATGACTCCAGCTTGCTCCTTACAGGATGTTTAATAAAACTTTCTCTGCTGACACTTGGATGTTTCTGTTCCRGGGCAGGATCAACTAGGCAAGTATTGTTGCTCCTTACATATCATTTTATCTGATTCTTGATTGCATGTATGGCAGATTAATGCCTCTGGGTTGGGGTAACACCTCCTAAATAAACATACTGTTTGCATTGCTATTTTTCTTCTAATTGCCTTTTCTGAAAAAGGAAAGAACTTCAGAAACTCAGGAAAGAAAGAGAGAGAGAGAGAGAGAGAGAGAGAGAGAGAGAGAGAGAGAGAGAGAGAGAGAGAGAGAGAGAGAGAGAGAGAGAGAAAAAAAAAAAAAAAAAAAAAAAGAGAGCTACGATTCAGATGCAATTCAACTGTTGATGAAACAATTTGGAAAGAATGAACCAAAAGGCTGTGTAAGTTAAATTCTAATTCCTCCCCAAGGGAAAAGTGAACCCAAGGATTTAAGATCCTCTTTTTCATCATCTGATGAGAAAGCAGTGAAAGTGCTAGAAGGGCAGAGAACCAGGGCAGAAATGCGGGTGAGCTGGAGAGTTTTGCCATGCAGGCTCTGTYAGAGGGCACCCTGACCCAAGCTTAGCCTGCTGTTCTTCCCACTCATCAATAATGGCATTTCAGGAAAGCGGCACTTTGTTCCTTATCACTAATTCATGTGCTGCGTTTCCTCAGGAGCTGCACAGAGCACAGCCCGCACCAGCTGCTGCTGCCGCCACTGGCACCATCCTGAGCAGGGAGATGGGCAGCGGCTGCCGGCTCTGCCCTCGCTGCTGTTTTGCACGGCCCTGAGACAGGCGTTACAGCTGAACCACTCGAGTGCACTCCCAGGCTGCTCAAAACGTCAATATTTTAAGTGTTTGGTAGTGTAACTGATTTGAACAAGACAGTTGCTTACTCTACAATTTAAAGTTTCTCATGCAAGGATGCCCCTCAGCACCCCCCCTTTTGCACCATTTACAGTGAACAACCCTTTATATGAAAAAGGAAACAAAACCTTTAGACCCTTCCGCTGGAGGGCACATCAACAGACAAGGAAATCCCAGCTTGGAGCAGAAAAGCTCTTCCACAGGAGTAGTGCACGCAGCTGGGACAGGGGTTACGCTCTTCTAACAGGTAGAGAGCTCCGTGAGCCCGCAGCGGGGCAGGGCTGTGGCGAGGGCTCTGTACTCATGCGGCCCCCTGTAAATCGCTAAGAACACGAGCCGGACAGCGATCAGGCGCGCAAACACCGCCTCTTTTGACCCCCTCACGGAAACWCCACGRGCGGCGGCTGAGCGCGGGAAGGACRCGCTCCTTCTGCGCAGGCGCCACGCGCGCTCGCCCGCTAGAGTCGTTTTGCTCCACCGCGCTCCGCGAAAGGGCCGCCCCCCGCCGCCCACCTTGCCGGCCACGCTCCCCTCAGCGCCGGTCCCGCCGCCCGCCCCGAGCCTGCGCAGGGCCCACTGCATAACGGGCCCGCCAGCGGCCCAAACAAGTGGCAGGTGGAGGCCCTGCCCCCAACGCCGATTTTGCACTCGAAAACTGCGGTTTGGGGACACCTGAGTAGCCGAGGGGGCAAAGTAAGGGGCTCCGCGGTGCACAGTGCCTATGCCTGGCACCTCCTGCAGCACCAGGGAGGCGCTGACCCCCACCTCGGCACCACATAGCGCACTTACTGAGGCACAGAGCCAGGCGGGTGTCTACGGGCAGCACTTAGGCGGCCGACGTTAACAGAAACAGAGGATAATGTGTTTCTTGAGCACATCCACAGAGCAGCATCTGGCCTGGAAAGCAAGCAGGACACGGGCGTCGCACTGTGAGCTGCTGCGGGCAGGCGATGACCCCGCAAGCTTTTGGCTCAGATGCAGCTAKAGAGATCACTCAGCTTGAGAGCGCCTCAGCCAGCGCACAGAGCTGCAGAGCGGGTACCAGGTACAGTGGCCTCAAGCACCACCTGCACATTACAACTCTGTGTTGCACTTTTAATCTTTATTCCACTTCGGTGTTTGTTAGCAGAGGCAGCATCTGCCTTTATGACTTCAAGACAGTGCACAGTTTAGCAAACCTACAGCAAAACAGCTATTTTTGCTTCAATCCCTCTTTCACCAGAGGAAATAACAACAGAACACCACCAAATAAACACACCAGCTCGTATGGTTAGCAAGGGCCTGGTTACAACAGAGCCTTAACTCTGCATCCTCTTGGGGAAAGCTCATTTGACTGTTCTGGGTTTTTTTTTTGCATATTAAGGTTTGGTGACTAACATCCTCAAAGTGGGATAAGGACATAACAAACTGTTTGCAACTTACTAAACTCCAGGAACTCAGGGGTTAGTAAGAAGCAGCAAACCCTCAGCCTTCAGGCATTCCCTCTCACACAGGGAAGAGCACAGCTAGCTGACAAGCACGGCTGTCCCATAAGCATTTGCAGCACACCCAACAAGAAGGGAGCCAATTCCTTCATTCCTGGTGGCCAAATATGTTCCAGGAAAACAGACCTCTCTTTTACAGCAACATAAAGAACACAAGAAAGCCTACCACCTTCCACAAATTCTGTGGAATTCAAGAACAGAAAAGAATCAAGGGATAGAAGCAAAAACAGAAAACAATTTAGGAGAAAACTTGCATCTCAGAGCACATTTAAAACATTATGCTGAATGAGAGATGTACTAGTTTGTTACATGATTACTAAGTCAAGGGTTTCACAAAGCAAGTAAATGTTTAGATTACAAGTGTCTGTAATATTCATTACCTGCTTACTGTCAATGCTCCAGTTTGGGGCTTGGTTCTGGTGTTTAAGCCTCAAAGTTGGTAGCCATGTTTCCGACAGCTTCAAGGCCTTTTTGGATAATMATTCACATTAAATAAGACAGAGCCTGTCACAGTAATTCAAAGATTTCACGGTTCTACAGCAGATTTACAAAAGATAAAAACCAATATTGAAGAGCATCTAGAAACACCAGATTTTTCCAGATGTGGCTGCTTAGTTAAACATTGTTTTCTTTAGATAACACTTCTGCTCTTTGCTGCTCATTTCTTATTTAAAATTTCATTTGTATCTGTAGAAAAAAGTTAGTCATCCATAGGACCCTAAACAGTTCTTCTCGCACTACTCAGGCTGAGAACAATGGGGGATGCCAGAGTTCAATCCCACACAGATACCTATTTAGGTTCTTATTTTTTGGATACAGTTAAAGAAAAAAAAACATCTTTTGAGCTAGAATGAAACAAAACATRTATTTGTATAAAAGATTTACTAAAAATATCTTACTTAAAAAGGTGACAAATGGGAAAGTATTTACAATAGCTGAATAGCTGCTAAAATATTCAGTACTTGAGCAATCCAACTWGGTACAGCTACAAATAATAAAAGGGCAACAACTTTTATACATAGCAGCATAGAAATGCATCAGATAAAGAATGTCAGATAAAGAAATAAAACAAATCAACTTCGGAGTCATTCATGAGATCTGCCAAACTATCTCTAAACAGGTTGTAAACTAAGAAAAAGGGTTCTGGTGACCTGGGCTAAAGATAACTAAAAGGATAAATATGTGTACAATTATAGTATTTTGGAGAAACTGGGAAGAGGAGCAACAGGCAGATTTCCGTCAGCTTTTAAAAAATTACTGCCAGTAAGATACACCAGTACACAGACTGTTTCACAAAGTAAATGTGTTAAAGACAGTTACTGAAAACAGATCAAATTAATCGAGGCTTGTTTTTTCAATACTGCAGAACAAGTAATTCCAGAATACAAAACCAAACTGTTCTTTTGCCTTTTACATGTCACCATAACCTTATCACCCCTTATTCCTAGCACCCACAGGGAGCTTCTCAGATATGCATTACTGCCAGCAGAATATGTGAACCTACTACTCTAGGATGGATTATATAAAAACCAGGACATACTGATGCAATGTTACAACCCTAGAAGTCTTTTTGCTTCTTCACTCTGGGCCATAAGAGTTTCACTAGCGTATTTTTGAAGAAGCTCCATCTTCTTCCTCCGTACAAGAGCTTGCTCAATCTGCAAATATAAAAATATAAAGACATTCAGCCTAATTTAGAAGCTGAGAAGAATTTAGAAGCATGCTCAGCTATAAAGACAGAAAGAAGCAAACCAGACTGAAAGTCAAGAGATTTGTACTAATGTAAAATTAGTGGAATTCTTCATGTTTGTTATCAGTTGTTACACTTGGACTTGATCTTACAGTACCTTCAYCAGTACCTTAAATTGAGATCTCTGCTCCTGTTCTTTGAATTAGGAAATTAGCTGCAATTTTGATTTACTTTTAGTGAAGATACTTCAATTTCTCTTCAAACAACTGCCTCAGCTCCTTAATAAATATGGAACAAGTAGAGTTGTACTCTAGTCTACATCCCTAAGATAACTGTTACTGATTGTGCCTTTCACAATATAGTGATTCACAGCCTCTACTGTCTCAGGTTTGCATAGAAATGACAGCAAGATACCACATAATCCTTTAATAAGTACATAATTTCAAGATCCATTAAGATCAGYCTGCAAAATTAGTTTTGCTGTAAAGTAATTTCAAAGCATTGCTGTGATTTCAGGATAAAGTCATTTAAAAAAAGTTACAAGAATAAACCCAGCYGTTCAGAAATAACTGCATTACCATTTATAAGATTAAATAATTGCAGATAGGCAGTACAGCTGCATTGAGGACTCAGTGTTTTGCTCTAACTTAAGATCTGTCTTGCAAAAGGCAGAGTGTATCTGTGCACCTATATTTTCACATGTCTTACCTCCTGTTGAGATGGCACAGGAACATGTGCAATAAATTTCTGTTGGCCTTCTTCACCTTCTTTTACTTTGCCACCTTCTTCATCAGACTAAAACAACAGGATTGTGACAAACATCATTTAGATCCTGCTCCTTTTTCAATTTTAAAGGCATGTTGCTTCCCTTCTTTATACAGCTACTGCATGGGCATTAAYGAAAAGCTTCATTCCCTCCACTGTCACATACCTCTGTCTGCCGTAGCAAAGGTATAAACAGAAGAGTGAAGCTAGCCAACCCAAGCAGAAAGCAAGGGCCTTAGAGGCACTTCAGGCTGTACTTTCTTCCTCATGTCTCACAGCCAAGCTTAATAATCACAAGAGATAGCTCATAAGATAGAAATTGTTGTTCCTCCAGTACCTTGTTGTATTTGTACTATCTTCTTTTTACTCTCATAATAWACCCACTTTGATCTGGACTGAGAAAAACAAACTTGTTTCCAGTATCCCTTTTGGTAGCAGAGAAAGGGGAGGGCAAAAACTACATTACAACAGTGCCTGTGACATCAACCAAACTTTGCTATATCATGATTTGAACTTAAACAAGACCTTGGTTTTGGAAGTAAGACTCGCATTTGGAAGCAAGACTCAGCAGTGCTCAGTACCAGAAATTACCTGACCAAAACAAGTACACCACCAATCCAGGCTGTGACAATTCATCACAGGCAAGGTCTCAACTGTTAACTGTTTTTCACTCTAGCAAAAAGCCTTTCCTGTYATCTTCTATCGCTCTATAAACTTAAGAGATGAATTCTCATCTAACATTTGTTTTTATTAAATGGAGACAATTGTACAGTAAATTGCGCAGAGAGGTGGGCAGAACATAGTAGCAATGGAGTTTTCAGTGACATGAGTAGCATGGAAGACATCCAAAGTGTTTCAATACCTTAGCCATCACATACCTCATCATCTTTGACAGCATAGATATTTACTTCCTCCTCCTCTTCCTCCTCGCCTCTCGCGAGTCGTGCCTCTCTCTCCGCTTTCCACTTTTCCACTGCTTCTGCTATAACTGGTTGGGAAAAGAAAACTGAAATGGTGAGAACAGCACCACCCAACAGTATGGGCAAGCTCCCCAACAGCAGTTCTCCAGCTACTGAAGCTAGAGCTACCTTGCATGTACGGCAATGGGCATTCTCGATTTGTCTCCTATTTAAAATGCCATTTTCAACAGACATAACTCTGCTCTTCTCTGCTATGTCTTGGTAGAAATCTAGCATAAGGTTGTACAATTAGTGCAACTGACAAAACATACCAGTGTAGTCTAGCCATTAACAAGCAGAAACCCACTCATTAAGTACTGCAGCAATGCTAAAGCCTGATTCACGTACATTTTAAGACTCTTTAAATGCCATGAATAAACGCCAATCTACTTCCCGAGCTGTGCAGCAGTATGGGTCAAGTGCCCAGGCTAAGCATCTCCTGCAGCTCCGCAGCAGGTCAGCAGCTGCAGGACCGCTGGCCACACGCCGACAATTGCATCTGCTTAYGCCTTGTGGGGTGACCACCCACATGAGTCACTTTGTTTTCAATTCACAGGGCATTTTTTTTTATTTTGTAGCATGTTCCTAATGATTCAAATTATGTAACTACCTGCGCTGCTGCATCTCTCTACTGTGTAGCAGCCACATTAAGAGTACTAACATTGCTTCTCCAAGGAGAAGACTAAGCCACAAAAAGAGKCCGGGAAATAAATACTAATACGTATATCTGTCTGTCTAACCTCTCCTTGGAAATAGCACACTCCAAGAAAGAGGGTGTTTGATTCAAACCATCATTATTACCACAAAAAGAGATGAAGAGCAGCTTTTCCCTACTGTAGAGGTAGACAGAATATTCTAATGTCCTTAATACTAAGTAAATCCAGATGCCAATTTATGGGGGTTGAGTCTCACACACTTTTCTTCTCATATTCTTGCTCCAGTGGCTCCAGAATACCATCCTCTTCATCCCTGTAGCCATAGTATTCTGCATCGATGGATTTCATAAGCTCAGCACGAGTTTTCCGGGGTGGTGGAAGAGCTGAAAAAGACCCACACAACTGTCATTCAACCAGCTACATCTTGACAGCTTGCTATGCATTCCTGGTTCTCACCAGCCTCACAAGGCAACTAGATGATCTTGAGAGGTCCCTTCTAACCTCAGTCATTCTGTACTTCTGTGAATGATCTGAATTGCTGTCAGTATCAGATATCCTGATATTTTCTTCTAGCCTGAATACTTTGAATACATAGCCCCAGTGCTTCAGACAGTGGCAGTTCCCACCTCGGGGCAATCCACAYTCTGTCATGCCTTTTTTCCTATTGGAGTCCCAGTATCAAGCAAGACTAATACATGAAAGGAATACGAAAAGTGTCYGAAGCTTCCTCAGACCATTAAGTACTCCCTATCCTTTTTCCTTTGTGGATATCAAAGAAAAAAAGTCCGATTCTGCAGGCCCATCTCACCTTCAGGTTCATTCAAGTATCTGCCTCTCTTTCTACTAAAAATATAWTCTATTTTCCAGTTTTTGCATCTACAAAAATTGATTTCTGCTCCAAAATCATGTTCAAACTTTTTTTTTATCCGAAGTTATAACTTAAGTTAGCCCATTGTGAGGGATGGTTGTTACAGAATATCAATCCTTAATATTTTAAGAAATCTACTGCAGTGGAAAATATTTTACTTTTTCCTATGTTTCTTTAATCAAAGTGCAGATAGTCAAAGGTGCTCTTTGCTCATAGAAATACTATTTAATGAACTATTTGTTCTCAGTGTTTTATTYAACAGATCTAAGGCATAGGCTGGAACATTCTCTTACTAATATTCACCATATATTACAGCTGACTTTCAACACAAGAGATACTACTATGCCATTTCAAATCTGGAAGAGGTTGTCATTTACTTACGTTCCTTTTCAAAAAGTTCTCTAACACCTGGTAAATCCTTCGCAGCTCCAAAATATTTGTAACCTCTATTTCCCGGAACTTCTTTTCCTTCATGATCTAGCATCTTAGGTCCAATTCTCTAGAAACATAAAATAGTAGGTTATTTTAATATTCCTATTTTCCTGGGCTTGCTGATAGACTGGGATAGAAGGGAGATCAAACAACCCAAATAATTTTACAAGTAAAATACCCTCTTTTTTATATAGATCTCTACTTTTATTAGAACTCACACAATTAAAACTGACTGTCCAAATCCTAAAGTACCTAACCATGATTCACCTTGACAACACACCTATATTTGCTTTATTCCTTTTTAATATGTTCAGGTATCAGATAAACRTGCATCACTAAACCTGACGAAAAGCACTATTTTGATGATTTAGCAACTGTCAGCTAGTCACGTTATTTAAATTTCCAACAGTAAAAAGCTGACCTAACTAGAATCATTTTAGACCTGTGCAGTACTGAACAAAAGAGCCACATTTAGTGATGAATGCAATTAAAATATTTTTGCAAATCCTGGAGAGGACGTTAAGACCATCCAAACAAGAGTCACAAATGAAAAGTCAGACTTTCTCAAATTGGAAACAAAATATTTCTTTTAACACGATCTCAAGTTATTTTGAAGATTAATACAGTTAATCTCTAATAAATACTGGTTAAGTAACACTTGGTAAATGAAATGGACAATCTTAGCAACTATGCAGTATACACTTACAGCATAATCAGGGCCTCCCAGCTCCCTTATCCTGAATTCCCAGTGTCCTTTCTCCCTCAGAAGTTTGTTGATTTCATCATTCAGGTCCCGAATTCTGAATTCGCCTAACCCAGCTGTTAGGAGGGGAAAAAAGCAAACAGTTAATCAGCTTGCTAGAAGTACCAGATCAAATTCAGAATCGGCACAAGGGAGACAGTTTTGTGCACACACAATTGCTTTCATTATAACTGCTTGGGATTTAAGTTTTGTACAAATAAAATGGAATTTGAAAAACCTTACCATTTTGAATCTGTGCCACTTTCTTGGAAATTTCCCCAATGATCTAATCAAACAAGAATACACAAAGAAAATAAATAAAAACCTGGAAAACCTAGAAAGAGACAGACATTGGTCTTTTGAACTAGAAAATAGACCTGAGACTGGAAATTTCAAGTATCAATACAGATTTTTTTTCACACTCAAATACTGTACCTCAAGGCTTAAAACATAAGCAGCTCTTTCTGTACCTGTAATCATGAATATCTATTTCCTAATAAAGATATCCAAGAGCTTCACTTGTATCTTATCGGGCAAAGGAGGACACAGGAGTATCTGGGGAACAAGGCAGCCTAACCACRGTCTCCAGCTAGAGGATGGATCAAATTCTTCCAGAAGATGCCTCCAAGYACACGAAAGAGAAGGGAATGACCAGGATAAATTTAATAAAGGATCATCACGCCCAACCAATCTGATTGCCCTCTAGGATGAGTTGATGGGTTCAACGAACAAAGGGAGAAGTGCTGTTTACCTCAAATGCATTTAACTTTGGCTTTAGCAAGGCTTTAAGTTATTTTCAGTTATTCCATTATTTACTAAGTTCTACCTGACTCAGAATTAGGAAAAAAAATCTACAGCAGTTTTACCTGTCGCCTCCATTTCTCAGCTTTAGGCAGTTCATTACACTCTGATGCAAGGAAAGGTCTTCGCTCCTGTTCAACAGAAAGGTAAACACCATAAAGTTTTAATTTAGCATCACAGTATCATAGAATATATTCACATATGTTCTTTACTTTTCTTTCAAGATTATTTCCATTTCATTTCTCCCAACTACAGTTCATCCAAWGCATCTTCTTCCATTACTAAGCCTTTTCCTCAGCTTGTTTGCATTCCACTGAATACCTTACACAAGTTATTACTTTATTTTACCCCCAGGCCTCTGTATATAGTTATTTTGTCCCTTCTTTTTACTGAAGTACTTATACAGCTTTTATACATTARCCTCTGTTGATGGGCCAGGAGGCCCTACTCCATCTCCATTCTCTGGCCATTGTTAAAAACAAAGAAATCTTATAGTCACAGGTTTCCCCACCTAATTGCTTTCCTCTTTATTGCTTTGTGCTGCTCACACTTGCATTTACTATACMACTTCTTAAGATGCAAGTGTAAAACACTCCACTGTATTTGTAGAAGTCTTTTGCCATTCACTCAGAACTAAACATTTTAAACCTGCTCAGAGAGGGAACATTCACATCCCTACAGGAATATGCTTGCAATGTWAACTACACAACACAAACAGTCCCTACTTCATCTGCTTTCCACATGAACTATTTCATAGACTTGTACAATAGGCGTATCTAGTACAAGACCTTTCTGGTAGGAGTCATGCAGGTCCATAAGCAATGTTCTCTCCACTCCTGATCAGAGCTAGCAAAGCTTTAGCTTTTTTTTTCATCATACATACCTTAACCTTCCCTTCTTCCAGTTGAGCTTGACGAAATCTTGCCAAGGCTGTCCTAAAGAAAAGAAAGGAAACAAGTTGCCTCTACACACCTGTGTCCCAGCAGTAGCAACTTCCACTATTTATTAACTTAAGTTATAAACTCTGTATAAACTATAACTCTGTAAAAAGTTCTACACATATTCATCAACTAGCTCTTCTGGCCAGAGATGACTTTAACACTAGCGCATGCTCTGTGGTTAATATTTACATTAGCAGAAATCCTGCTACTATATTATTCCATAATTAAAGAACAAATCAGTATTTCTATTAAACGTATTTTTAAACGTTATCAGCAAAAGTATGCCACAAGTTACAAGCACAAAGTCTGCATGTCATAGCAAGGAAGAGATCAAAAAGCAAACAAACAAAAACAAAGAAACAAAAATAGATGGTCTGAAGTTAATAATTAAGATTTTTGCCGTTACTAATATATTTCAGGAGACTACAATCGAGTAGAGACTATGGTAGTCTCCTGAACTAGGAGAGCACAAGGCCCTACATGGTGCAGCACCTTCCCCCTGCCCCGGTTACCACTACAGACACCCCCACGCGGCCCAGGGCCCGCACTCACATGGCCTTCTCCGCGTTCCGGGCCTAGGGAGACAGACACACAGAGAGACATGTTAGTGCCCAGTGCCCTCGACAGTGCCTCGCGGCGGCCGCCAAGATGCTCCTCGCCACAGTGGGGGAGGAAGAGCGAGGTGGCCCCGGCCCCATGGCACTCACCATGGCTGCAGCCGCCCGCGCCCAGCGCCGCCGAGGAGCCGCGGGGAAGCGCCACCCGCGCCGGAAGCGGCACCGCCCCTCACGCCGCGGCAGGAGGAGGTGCCGCCAGCACCGCGCGTGCGCGCGCTSCGCCCGCCCTCAGCGCAGGAGACTGCCCGCTCCGCGCCTGCGCCACCACCGCCCGCGCGCGCCCTGCGCCTGCGCACGAGAGCCACAGGACATGAACAGTTGTCACCAGCTACATAGCAGAAATATGCCGAAATATTCCAATCAGCCAGCTCACACATCTCCAACTTCAAACTGTTCTCTACAGAAGAGAAGACATGAATACCTTTTCTACTTTTTAAAAGTTTTTTATATTATATATTCGCACACACGCCTTACCTCGAGATGTTTGTGAAAGAAAACTATATTCCTTTCCAAACATAGAAAAAAAATCAGGATCTTCCTAAGTTTAAGCTACTAAATTCTACAGGAGCAGAAAAACAAAGTCACCAAGAACACAAGCCTTTAAAACAGCATTTTTAAAGCCCCAGATTTAGTAGCTTAAGATTCAGACCTCAAGCTCTTTGTAATCAGAGCCTCAATTTTTAATGAGTGTTTAACCAAGAAGGTTGTATTCGAAGACCAAGGTATTTGCATCTCTACATTCCACAGACAGAGTAAAAAGCAATACTAGTTCTTTTCTGCTTAGGCACAGCATACCACAAATACTTTCTGAAAAAAAATTGTTCAAATTCAGAGCCTTCTCACTGCTCTTCCTGTCTTGGAAGTAGTATCAACTCAGCCTTTCCAAAACTCGCTCAATTTTTCATGTCAGTTGTTCTCAGCCAAGTCATCTGAGCTCTGGTGACATCACATGTTAACTCTTACCTCAGAAGAAAAAAAAAATTGAATGCTTAACACTATCACTGAGCTTTTATGACAAACTTTGAGCTAGGCTGTAAAAAGTTTTAAGTCACTTTCATTCAGTGCTAACTCTAAATTGCTGCAGCAGCTACTACTGGAGGAGCTACTACTATCTCATCAGAACTCTCCTCATAGCAGAGAGTAACTACCACCAACCTCAATTTCATTGGACAGACATTTCAGTTACTAACTTCCTGAAAGCACATATGCAAAAGGTGATCAGGAAGTATGTCTGAATGAAGCTTGTGAAAGCGTAAAAGCACTCACTCCCCACTGTAGCTTTCTGGATTAATCAATTGACAGGTTCTTGCTACCTTTCTATACTTTTCAGTGTTCTACTATAATAGGCTGAAAACAAAGAGGTTTGTGCAAGACCACTAACTTCCATAAAAGTACTGCAGTTTACTGTCTGCTCACTTTTCATCTGTGGAATGTGAATTACCATTTACCAACCTTTGGTCAAGCAAACTATTTAGCAGGAAGCTGAACATACTGCACACAGGAAGTATTTTGAATGCTAAACATTTTAATGATAGCTCTTAGTGTAATGACGTGTGAAGGGTGAAGTACTGTTGTGAAGGCATCAAATCACTGAACTACTCCAGATGTACCAACAGATCTGTATCATACTGGATCATAAAATAAGGTCATTATTCATGAATGTCTTCCTGAACAATTCAGAATGAAAGTGATGCTTTAACTGCATGAAGCAGGGATGAAGCAACAAGTCCAGTGCGGAACACCCAATCCATTCACATGAATATATGCAGAGAAGTAGAATACTGCATAATTAACATTTTTCAGAGCTTGATGCTACCAATGGAAACTTAAGACAGTACAAAAGAAAAGTCCAAACTAAGCTTTTACACCTCCACATACCCCTTTTAATATGTTATTTTGCACTGTGTACATGAGAAACAAAAATAAACAAAAGGAACTTTAGCCAAACTCCCCTTCCTCCTCCAGCTTTATTGATAGTTTAAAATTACATTTTCTATGTTCTAGGACTTCAATTGCTTTTACCATCTTACTTTAAAAACTGATTACAAGCAAATGAAACTCAGTTGTCTAAGTGATATAGTATACAAAAATAACATCTTGATTTCTGTGAAAATGCATTTATTTGCAACTCCTGAATAGCTCCAAATTGTATATGCTATGAGCACTGATGTCTGGGTTTCAGATTTAGTTTGAGATATTTATTCAAAAGCTCCCCATTGCATTCTGCATCTCCAACATGAACATTCATTGACTGTATTACTGTTACTTTTAAAGTTTATTCCTGATTTCTCTCTCTCTCTCATGGCCATTAACAGGCATGTGCATCTTGTTTGTTTTATTTACTCCCACTCAGCTATACGCTCTATGTAGGGCCTGATTCAGATATTACTTGGTGTTAACAGCTACTGAGGTCAGACAATCCAAGGCCATTGTAATAAAATTAAAGTTATGAGGAAGTTTAGACACTTCCAGAATTTCTTTCCTCCTGCATAGGATCACTTCCATATAACCCAGAGAGGGTTTTGCTGGTCTGACTCAACTCTTCCCACTCATCAATCCCTATTCACCAGTGGCACGGAAAGGGGGTTCTTTAACAAAGCATTATACATAACACCTCTACCAAACTAAACATAAACATTTTTGTAGTTAAATGCAGAAAGTTGATTTTTTCCACCCCTTTCCTCCTTTTACACGGCAAGTAAAGCTCACTGGCCTGGGAGTAGCCTCTATCTGCCAACCTTTGGCCAGTGAAGAGGATTCAGAGAAAAATAATACAACCATCAATCAGAAAAAGGAGGGGCGACAAAGGAAAATAATTAGGCTGTAGCTTCAATTGTGCATTCCCGTGCAAGGTGCCCTGACTCGCCGCAGCGATAGCAGTTGACTTCACTGGTCTTGCTGCAGTTGATGGCTACATGGCCAGTTTCACCACACCTGGAAAAGCAAATGAAAGAGCTACTCAGAAAAGCCATCCTAAGCTGCAAAAGCATCCACTAAAATTCAGGCATCCTGGTTCTGTTTAAAAGGCTTATGCTTCAGTATTCTAGCATCGTGACAGATAGGGGGCTATCTGTCTAAAATAAATTCTGAATTTCTGAAAACAAAACCGTATCTTCTACTAGATTTAGTTTAAGCCTCTTAACTGGATTTAGGCACAGAACACATCCATCTCTGAGGGTGCATTCCACATTTAACATTTTTTCATCCATTCTTACCTATAGCATTTCACTTTGGTGCAGTCTTTTTGAATGTGTCCAAATTCTCCACAAGAATAGCACTTCTGCTCATCTGCATGGTCACAGTCACGAGCCAGGTGGCCAGGTTTGCCACAGTTGTAGCAGCACTGCTCTCTCTCCCTCTTCGGCTCCTTGCAGTCCTTAGCAATGTGGCCACCTCTACCGCAGTTATAGCAGGCTTCCACAATAAGAAAAAGATACAGAACAAGACTATAAAACCTTGGTAGACTAAAGTGTAGCATGCTTCTAACAGAAGGAGATATTTAGTGGTTTTGGTGGATTGTGATCGCTGCATTATACATCTCCCTTCAACAACAGGGCTCTGTGCATGCAACTGAGATGTAAAATTTAAAGATACTTACCATCCTCCTGAAGATCACAGTCCTTGGCAAGATGGCCAGACTCACCGCAGCGGTAACAGATGTCCGGGAGAGACGAAGACATGAACTGGAAGCCTGCTTTAAATGGTAATAGGAGAAAGAAAAGACTTAGGGATCAAGGTAAGAATTAAGATATTGCCAATTCATCTTACAAGTCAGGTTGTCCCTCAGCAGTCCTTGGAACTTCAGAAAAGTAGCAAGTTTCTTACAGTAAGGTAGGAATGATAAAGTTTAGTACCATCCTGCTATAGCTAAGTTCTAATTATTGGATTCAAACCTAGCAAAACCTCTTTTGGATATTTTTCAGGGCAGTCAGCTGGAAGATCTTACTCTGCAAAGAAACAGAAAGAAGTTACCTCTGCCACGGCTTCTCATCCCACGACCACGGCCAATTCCACTAGGGCACTCCCGAGCCCAGTGGCCAGTACGTCCACACTTGAAGCACTCGTTGCTGCTCATTGCTGCAGATTATCCTCCTGGAAAGAGTTAGGGAAAGAATTTTAGAAGCCTTTTTCTCCCAAAGGCCATACACTAAGATAAGAGGTGAAGTTTTCCTACCCTCCTGACAGAGGCAACTAACCTGCTTGTAGCTATCTCAAACCTGTTTGCACAGTTTATGATTACCTGTTACCTGACAACTGTTAAAGCCATGGTAGGAGACAGAAGAATCTCTCTGCTTTGCTCATTAACTGTCGAAGAAATTATATGCTTGACTTTTCCTCTAACTGAAGCTTTTAGACAGTCTTTGCTTCAAAAACCGGTGGAACGCCTAAGAGTGAAACAAGCTGTCCCAACTACTGCTGGAACAGTCTTACCGTTGCTTTCTCTCAGAAATACACATTCACTTACTTTACCCCTCACAGCAAGGTAAGGAAGAAAGCTACTTATCACTACGAAGCTTTTTCTTCCAGGCAGTCCTAAATTATTCTTTAGGTGTTTATCTGACTGCAGCTATACAGACCACCCAAGCTACATTCCAGATACTTACTTCAAGAATAGCCAATATTACAGCTAAGCCCTTAAAAAGGGAGATCAGTTCTTTTGTGATCTAAAGAAGGAGTTTAAAATTGCTGCTTTACAACTTCAAAATATAACTTGCAGTGCAGGCTTAATACTCCACTCCTACGTTTACATGGAGAAAAGTGTTTAAGACACATTTGGTATCCCAAGAAGACATCAGACACTCACCAGACATCTAGAAGGCTAACTTGGAAAGCATTCCTAGAATGCTAGGGAAACATCAGATAGGCATGCCTGTCAGGAACAGTATAAACAGCTTCTTTTGTCCATATTGGGGAAAAGAGGCATGTTCCATTGAGCAGCAAAATCAGCCTGCTAAAGACCACCAATTCAATGGCTACGAAATGGTAGATTAAAAAGGCTGTAATCACAGACCAACAAGTCCTCTAAACTATAAAAATAATTATGCAAAACTTCTGGAACTAGAAATACAACAGGAAAGATAAAACAGATTCCAGTTAAGCTTGCCTGAAGG